CCATTGCCTTCCCTCAAATCCTGATTTAACACCCAGCTCAGGCTTTGGTAGAGCAGCTGGGCACATAAATTCCTTCCATCTAGGATGCTCTTCTCTCCGCAGCTTGCATGGCTATTTCTTAGTATAAATATCACATCCTCAGATAGGCCTTCGGTGACCCAAAAGACCCATCTTACCTCCACTCCCTGCCTATTAGTCTTGTGGTATCTAGAGCTACTTCTTCCTAACACTTTCCACAACTGTATATACGTGTCCCTTTCCATGAGAAGGTAAGCTCCCTGAGAGCAGGCCCTTTACGTGTTTTGTTCACTGGCCTCTGTACTGTAGGATGTTTAGCAGTATCTTGGTCTCTACCTACTGGATGCTTGTAGCATCTCCTATTTGTGATAACCAAAAATATCTCCAGACATTGACAGATGTCCCTTGAGAAGCAAATTACCCTGTTTGAGAACCAATGACTTAACTGTATGTTTGAGCAGCTAAGAGGGTATGATGTAGAAGCAAATTACCCTGTTTGAGAACCAATGACTTAACTGTATGTTTGAGCAGCTAAGAGGGTATGATATAGATTCCACTGAAAGAATAAGAGATAAGAATATAAGGAGCTACCCTTCCCTGAAAGAAAGAAAGAAAGAAAGAAAGAAAGAAAGAAAGAAAGAAAGAAAGAAAGAAAGAAAGAAACCATCAGAGGGATGGTCAGCACTGGGCAGAACTGTGAACTTTGACCTTACCTATCCACCTTCCCTTTCTTGACCAGTTTCTTCTCTTTCATGATTCCATTCTTACTTAGGAACAAAAGTAGTACAATATCCATAAAAATTAATATTTGTATTATAGACAAGCAATATAAATAGTTCTATAGATGAAAACTGAAGCATTATGAAAGCACTTTACCATATGTAAATTATATATAAAAATTATTTAAAAAACACAGGCATTATAGTCAGACCTGGGTTCAAGTTCTAATTCAGGAATTTCCTAGCTATGTAACTTTGGACAAGTCCTCTCATCTCTCAGGACCTCTTTTTCCTCAGTTGTAAAAGGGGAGAAATAAGTGTGTACCTCGCAGGATAACTGCAGAGTAAATGGAATCATGCACAGACAGGCACTTTGCACTATGCCTGACTTATTCATATTACCTATTTATCTTTATCTATTGTTCATAGGTGATATGCTTCCTGTGGATACATTCTCATTAGGGGCATCTCAACTTGCCTTTTCCCAAGTAACCCTTTGCTCAGGTAGAAAAAGATCCAGAAGCACCAATCTTGTAATTGGGACATGGAATCTTGGCTCCCCTGACTTATTAGGAACTGAAATTACTGAGTCCCATCCAGCCATCCTGCTGGTGTGGCTCAGTGGTTGAAAATCGATGTATGAACCAGGAGGTCAAAGTTTAATTCCTGATGAGGGCACATGCCAGGGTTTCGGGCTCAATCCCCAGGAGGAAGTGTGCAGGAGGTAGTCGAACAATGATTCTCTCTCATCTCTGATGTTTCTCTCTCCCTCTTCCTTCCTTTCTGAAACCAATAAAAACCTATTTCTTAAAATAAATACAATAAATTACTGAGTCCCTCTGAGTCTGCTTCCTCTGCTATAAAATGGTATGCTAATACTATCCATTTTGTAGGTTCTTGTAAGATATGTAAGTACTGGTAACGTTTCTCTTCTATTGTAGATAGGTCTGGGAATTCAGTGTGACTGGGGCAGTAGCTGTGCTAATAGAACCTGCCAGCAGGGGGCTGGAATGTTACATCCAAGTTCCTAATCAACACGTTCATGTTTTGAGCATGGTTTTCTAACTTTTCAAGAAAAAACTCAAATGTACACAAAAGTTGAATAGTATAACAAACCCCATGTTACCAGTACCGGGTTTCAACAACTATCAACATTCTACGACTCTTCCTCCTCTTTTGGTTTGCTATGCTGCCTGTGGGGTATTTTTAAAGCATATCCCAGATGACATTATTTTATCCATTATACATCAGTGCACAGTTCTAATTTTTTTAAAAGGGGGTTCAATTTCTATAAGCAAGGTGTCATTATCATACCTAACAAATAAAAATTAAAAGTCCTTAATTTATCAGTTCATATAAAAATGCACTGATTGTATAAAGATGCATTTTGACAGTTGGCTCACTTGAATCAGGATCCAAATGCTTTTGCCTTTGGTAAAGTCTTAATTTTGATGCTTTAATATTCTACCTTCCCTCTTTATTTTCCTGCCATGAATTTGTTGCAGAAACCAGGTCACTTGTCCTGTTAAATGCCCCACATTTTGAGTTTGGCTGACTGTGGTGATATCCTCTCATATTTTTGGTAACCTAGCCAAGTAATTGGATCTTTTTAAAAAATTTTTTTTTTTTTATTGATTTTTTACAGAAAGGGAGAGGGATAGTTAGAAACATTGATGAGAAACATCAATCAGCTGCCTCCTGTACACCTCCCACTGGGGATGTGCCCACAACCCACGTACATGCCCTTGACCGGATTCGAATCTGGGATCCTTCTGTCTGCAGGCTAACGCTCTATCCAGAGCCAAACCGGTTAGGGCCAAGTAACTGGATCTTGACTTAATTAGGCTTAGATTCTCCTTTTCCCCTCCCTGCAATATTTCATGAAAAGCACTTAGTGATTTTAAGACAGGTTAATGGGTTCAGGCTGTGTCAGCCTAAGCTCTCCATTACAGTTACCCAACAATTTTTCACCCAAATATTTTAGCATCATTACATGATCTTTGCCTAGATGCAGTATTTCATTATGGTTTGCAAAATCATACTTTTCTAATGCTATAATCTCCTTTGTGCTTATTAGTTGGAATTCTATAAAAATAACTTTTCTTGCCTGGCTGATGTGGCTCAGTGTCGATCTATAAACCAGGTCACAGTTAGATTCCCCATCAGGGCACATGCCCAGGTAGGAGGTGTGCAGGGGACAGGTGATCAATGATTCTCTCTCATCATTGATGTTTCTCTCTCTCCCCCTCTCTGAAAAAGAAATATATTTATAAAAAATGAAACCCTTTCCAAGGCCCCAGCAATGTGTTTACATGACCAACTTGTAGTCTTTTTCCTAAAGAGGATACCCTAAATTGTTTCAAGCTACACAAGTCCTGAATCCACCTCACAGACTAGACTCAGCCGTGCTTTGGGGATTGAAGGGGGTGGACTTCACATCTGTTCTGGAGCCAAATTGAAAGAAGGGGCTCCTATAGTTAATGATTGAGACAAACAAAACAGCCTCCTCTGGCCTAGATATCCATCCCGATTCTGATCAATTATCCATATAGGTAGCTAGCTGTCTACACGGCCTTCCGTATTTTCCCCTCTACTTTCAAGACTAGAAACCAAACCTTTGCTGACCCCCGTAGTCCCAGTAGAAAGGTGAAGACTTGTACATGGCACTCAGGACAAGATTACAGATCAGTTTTTTGGGGGGTAGGATGGGGGAGGGGAGTGTTACACTAGGGGTGTGAGTATTCAAAGCAGGCACCTCCCCCTCAGAAAAAGACACCTTCAGATCAAATAAGACAGAAGTCTGTTTCCTCGTTTTTGTAAAAATAGGGTTAATGATAAAGCCTGCGGGGTTTGGTTAGGATTAGGTGAGATCATTTAGAACTTCTCTAAAGTCAGTTTCAGACAGGTCAATAAATGGAGGACAGAAAATAAAATGGGTAATGGATCCTTGAAGGCGGTGGCGGATTCTTTGCAAATCGTGCCTTTTATACAGCAACGGGAGGAGGAACCACCGCCTCATTGACAACAGGAGGTGCCCGACAGGTGGAGAAGGAATGGACGTTTCTGGCGGATGCTTATTCAGCTGTGTAACTATCTGAATAACTTAGTGGCTCTGGTCCCCGAGTCACTGACAGCCGCGGGCGGGCCGGGCGAATGCGCGCGGAGAGCAGACTGCCGGCTGCCGGCGGCCCAGTGACCCGGCTGCCCGCCGGCTCGGGAGCGCCGCTTGTTCTCTGCCAACCCCGGCCCCGTCGGCTCCGCTCGCCGCCTCTCGCCGCGCACCGGCCGGATGTGGACTCCCCAGGAGCCCGCAGGCACGGCTGTCCAGCAGGAGATGCGCGGGTGACAGCGGCCAGGTGCGGGCGCCCCTGTCCCTTCCTCCACGCGCCGGGCTGGGCGCCCCGATTCCCGGCGGCCGCGGCCCACGAACAGTGAATGAGGCGCCGGCTTCTTTAAGGAAGATACCACCGCGCCGGCGGGGCAGGGGACGGCGTCTTCCCAGAGGATCGCACCCAGCCCGGCGCCGCCGCCCGCCAACATGGCCCGGAGACGCTGACCAAAGGGGCAGCCTCCCTCCCCGCGGGCCCGCCACGGCGCTCCGCTTCCCGCACGCACGCTAGGCCCGCGCCGAGGAAGATGCCCCGGGCGTCCAGCCCCAGCGACTCCCGCACGCCGGCCCGCAGCGGGGTAGGTCGGAGTGGAGGGGCGAGAGGGAGAGGGGTGGCCGCGCCGAGAGCGTGCGCCCCGCGCCCAGACCTGCTGCCGAGGACCCGCCGGGGCCCGGGCCGTGCTCTCCCGCCGCGGCCGAGACCCAAGCGTGGCGTGGCCTCCTCGCCCCCGGGCCCGACCTCCCCTGCGTGGGGGGACAGGAGTGGTCTGTGCCGGGGCGCGCACACCTTCCCGGCTCCCGATTCCTGGAAACCTGGGGAGCGGGGAGCGCGGGGGTGGCCGGGAGCGCGGGGCACGGGGCGCGCGCCCAATGGGGAAGGCGCTGCGTGCGGCTCGCGCGCCCAATGGGGACGGCGCTGCGTGCGGCTCGCGCTACGGAAAGCCGGAGGGGGCGGGGTCCGGGGAGCCGGGTGGTGAGTCCGCGCAGCACGGGGGCGCGCGCCGGCCTCTGACGGGAGGCCGCGGCGGCGGAGGAGGCGCGAGCTGCCCGATAATGGCGGCCTGCAGAGCCCGTGAGAGGGAGAAGCGGCGGCGGCTCCCCTGAGGTAAATCCGGCCCGCCAGCCCGGCGGGGAGGCCCCGCTGCAGGGCCGAGGGCCTCGCAGGTGCCTGCCTCTCCAGGGGACCTGTCACCGCGCTGTCAGCGGAGTCCTCCCTCCCAGGGATGGCCTCGCGCCCCTCAGGCCTCCGGCCCGCACACCTGCCACCGGCCTCCTCTTAACGCCTGTGGCCTCTCCCCCGGGCCCGGGCCTCGGCCGCCAGCCCCCGGGGAGCCAGGGCAGCCGCCGGACCGGCCCCTGCGGGTGCAGGGCCTCGGGAGGATTCCCTCCGGGTTTGGTTTGGACGCGGCTGAAGAGGGGGTGGGCCTGCTCCTTGGCCAATGAGCTGGGCCCGCCGCTGCCGCGTCTGGCGGCACCTCTGCCCGGGACCGGCCCGCCCCGCCCCGGGCACCGGCAGGTGTGCGGCCCGGCCGGCCCGCGTCCGGGCGCCGAGTGGGCACAGCGGGCGGGAGGGCCCCGGATGCCCACCTCAGGCTCGGAGGTGAGCACAGGGAGCATCGCCTTGTTGTGTTTTGATCGGATCGCAAGGATTCCTACACACCCGCCCTCCCCCTCCTGGAGGTATATGGGACGGGTAAATGGGACGGTCTCAAAGACACAGCCACCTGGAGATGGGCAACACTTGGCCATCCGTGGAAAGCGGGAAGGAAAGTCTGCCGTGTGGTTAGGGCAGAGGGTTCCGGGCCGGGACATCAGGCGCGAGGAAGTGCAGCAGGAGTTTGAAGGGTGGGTGTCCAATCAGAGGACGTGGGGCCGAGAAGCAATCTCAGAAGCTTTCGTTTTCTTTATTCAATCATCCCTGTGGACTTCAAGTAGCTGTTTCCCAATCTTTCAGGCTCAAGGATCAGTAGCTTTTTTGTTCCCACAAACAAAGAGAGCCCCTTGATATGTAGGACACTTTTTGTTGGCAAAAAAATGACCTAGATCTAAATAACTGTTGTCCAACGACAGGAAGGTAATCATATTCTAAGGAGCTTCCTTTATTTTGAAAGGAACGTTTGTGTTTTTTTTCCCTCCACAGACTTTATTTTCATTTAGTTTGCAAGAAATAAGGAAGTAACATAACATTAAAATAGGAACATATACATTTTGACTTGACACGTTTTCATTTCTAAATGTGATCTGGTTCACTTTCAGCCCCTAAGCATAAGCCAGGTGTTTGTATTTCTAACTAGGAAGGGTTTTTGCTGTTTTATGACCTTTTGTATGTGTGTGTGTGAGCTTTAAAGAGAAGCTAGAGTTTTTTATTTATTTTTGTGATCAGTAAGTAAGAATGCTGAATTTTTTGGTTTATTTTTAAAGTGACTGTTGAAGCAGTTTTTGTAAGAGGCACTATAGTGAAATGGTTAAAATTACTGATGTCAGAGCCAGGTGTCCTGGTTTCAAATCTCAGGTCCACCAGTTACTAACCAACTTTGGGCATGTTGCTTAAACTCTCCATGCTTTAGTTTTCTCACCTTAAAATGACAATAGTATCTACTTCAGAGCATTATTATGAGGATTAAGTGGATTAATAGAAATATCTTTCAAAGGGTTGATATCCAGAATACAAAGTGGGACAAAAGTAGGTTTACAGTTGTTCGTTTGGAAAATAATACAATAATTAATAAATAATAATACAAGGATAAACTTTTGCCCTGGCCTGTTTGGCTCAGTGGGTAGAGCATCAGCTTTTGGACTGAAGGATCCTGGATTCAGTCTCGGTTGTGGGCTCGATCCCCAGTAGGGTACTTGCCGGAGGCAGCCAATCAATGATTCTCTCTCATCATTGATGTTTCTATCTCTTCCTCTCCCTTCCTCTCTGAAATGAATAAAATTATATATATATATTTTAAAAGAGTAAACTTTTGCTTAGTCACAACTGTAAACCTACTTTTGCCCCAACCTTATTAAAAATTGCTTGACACGGTTCCTGAAAAATGGTAAGTACTACATTAATGTTAGCTTTTTTACTATTATTATTAAAATGTTTAGATTTGCCCAAGGCATAGCAAATATCTTTCAAGCATTGCAAACAGTGAGAGAAACGATAGCTAAATCGTACATAAGAAGCAATACAAGCCAGTAGGTGTGCTTAATTTCAGTAAAGCATTTTGTTGATTTTTCCAGAAGCCTTGACCTTGAAGATGGTGAGTAGCCAGCCAAAGTACGATCTAATACGGGAGGTAGGCCGAGGTAGTTACGGTGTTGTGTATGAAGCAGTCATCAGAAAGACCTCTGCACGCGTGGCAGTGAAGAAAATTCGATGCCATGCTCCTGAGAATGTTGAACTAGCCCTGCGAGAGTTCTGGGCCCTAAGCAGTATCAAGAGCCAACATCCAAATGTGATTCACTTGGAGGAATGCATTCTACAAAAAGATGGGATGGTGCAAAAGATGTCCCATGGCTCTAATTCTTCCCTCTATTTACAGGTATGTGTGCTTAAAGAGGAAATAGAAATGATTTGAATGTAGCATTGGAAAGCAAAAAGAGGAATGAAAGAATCAGATGAACTACTTTCAAATGCAGGTGCTTATATAGTTAGGCATAGATAGGGGTCTGCCAAAGATTGAATAGATGTTTGCTTTAAAACAAGGTGTTATTTAGCCGAGACTGGTTTGGCTCAATGGATAGAGCGTCGGCTTGGGGACTGAAGGGTCCCGGGTTCGATTCCGGTCAAGGGCATGTACGTTGGTTGCAGGCATATCCCCAGTAGGGGGTGTGTAAGAGGCAGCTGATTGATGACTCTCTCTCATCGATGTTTCTAACTCTCTATCTCTCTCCCTTCCTCTCTGTACAAAATCAATAAAATATATATTTTAAAAAATGTATTAAAACAAGGTGTTATTTAGACCATGATGCAAATACCTAAAAATAATATAAGCCACCTGTTATGCTATGATATTTGCCAGTCTGCATAGGAATGGGGCAACATAGGAGCTAGAGAAGTGATCAGAACTGGATCCTAATAAGTTTACTTATTTGAAATCAATTTTTTAAAACTGAAGATAAAAGAAAAAAAATCTCCATAGTCAATAGCAGCACCATAGGACACTGCTTTGAACATAAGCCTTTGCTGTTTTAGACGATGATATAGTTTTTAAACCATTCAGTCCCACTTAATTTTCATGAAGTATGTGACTTAGCACCTGAATGTTATTAACAGTGCTAAAGCTAACCGATTGGGTTCCCACTTAGTTCCATGCTGTGTGCTAAGTGCTTTAAAGGCAGTTGTTCAGAACAATACTATGAGAAAAGTACTATTATCATCTACATTCAAATGAAGAAACTGAGGTTTAGATTACATACAGAGTCACATAGCTAGCAATTATCAGAATTGGAACCTAAAAAATTGTGCTCTCTTAACCTCCAAATTATTCTTTTGCCTCCATGTCACTCTTTTGTAGACTTGGGGAAAACATTAACAGGAAAACAGAAAAGGTTAGTTTTTTTTTTAGGTTGGCTTCTGCCATTGACCAAAATCTCTAGTAACTATATACTCACTAAAGAGAAAAGATTCTTAAGACATAGCTAGTTAAAGGCCAGAACAAAATTTCTAAGTCCAGTCATTCTTGGGAAAGGAAACAATTTTCCATGAGTCTGTCTGAATTCAGAATTTACCATTAGGCAAAAGTCTGTTTTTAAAACAACAAAGGCTTACAGATTAGAGAAAAATACGTGTATGTGTAATTAGTTCTACTGTATGGTGAACAAATATCAATCTTGAGAATTTAATATGCAGTTTACCATGCTATTCCCTGAAGTTTTCTAAGACTAAACATAAAACACAACTATTTTGCCTCTATTTGGTTTCGTTTACTTTTCTAAAGGTGCTTATTTTGTAAGTTACACTCAGAAAATATCAGAAACATTCTTACCACCAAATTTGCTCTTAAAAGTGTATAGAACCTTCCATTGAATTTTGGAGACCAAGACATTTAAACACATGACAGTGCTAATGATATCCTTGAGTCCAGATCAAGCAAGCGTTATAGTAACTAGGTATCAGCTGGTCTTTCAAGGTTTAAGATAGAAGTACTTCCAAACTTGATTCAGTGATTTTTTTAAAAATTGATCTTAACCGAAACCGGTTTGGCTCAGTGGTAGAGCTTCGGTCTGCGGACTGAAAGGTCCCAGGTTCGATGCCTGTCAAGGGCATGTACATTGGTTGCAGGCACATCCCCGGTAGGGGGTGTGCAAGAGGCAGCTGGTCGATGTTTCTCTCTGATCGACATTTCTAGCTCTCTATCTCTCTCCCTTCCTCTCTGTAAAAAAATCAGTAAAATATAAAATAAAATTTAAAAAATTGATCTTAGAGAGAGGAAAGGAGGGAGAGACATCAATGTGAGAGAGAAAGATGGTAATGAAATTGAACTCAAAACCTGAGTATGTGCTCTGACCAGGAATCGAACTCACCACCTTTTGGTGTATGAGACAAAATATCAACTGAGCCACACTGGCCAGGGCAGTGATGATTTTTTTTAAATCTAAAACACCTTTTTGTTTAGTAATCTCTTTTTTTTAATATATTTTTATTGATTTTTTTATAGAGAGGAAGGGAGAGAGATAGAGAGCTAGAAACGTCGATCAGAGAGAAACATCGACCAGCTGCCTCCTGCACACCCCCTACCAGGGATGTGCCCGCAACCAACGTACATGCCCCTGACCGGAATCGAACCTGGGACCTTTTAGTCCGCAGACTGATGCTCTACCACTGAGCCAAACTGGTTTCGGCGGTAATCTCTTTTAAAGCTTGATAGACTTGTGTTTTACTTGCGGCCCTTTTTGGTAGGTATAGGACCTTGAATAAATAAATAATCTACCTTTCCCCAGCATCTACCTCTTGTGTATAAAATATGAATAATAATTTCTACCTTCCATGGGAGTTGTCAAAATTAGAAGTGATGCAGATACAATATTTAACATATAGGAGTACTCAGTGCTAGGTAAACCTATTAAAATTGTCTTTTCTATAGATTTGTTTAGTTAACCAGATATTCATCAATACATTTAGTTTATCTAAATTTATATCTAGTAAAGACAACCAATATTTATATCTGGTAAAGACAATTAAATCTAGAGAGTGGCCACAGAGTTCCTATGCATAGTCTTCTCATTTCTCGATATAAATCTTTTATTTTTCTCCATGTTTTTCCAGATAGCTTCTTTGTTGTCTGTTGGAATCATTAAATCAGTTCTTGCCCTGGCCGGTTTCTCAGTGGTTAGAGCATCTACCAGAGGACTGAAGGGTTGCAGGTTTGATTCCTAGTCAAGGGCACATACCTCAGTTGCAGGTTTGATACCCAGCCCTGGTTGGTTGGAGCGAATGTGGGAGGCAAATAGTCCTATGTGTCTCTCGCATCGATGTTCCTCTCTCTTTCTCTTCCTTCCTCCCCTACCACTCTTTCTTTAAAGATAAATGAAAAAAATAATTTCAGGTGAGGATTAAAAAGAAAAAAAAGTAATCAGTTCCTGATATCTAACCACCTCACCTAGAAGAAAATGTAAAACAAGTAATTAACAGAGGACACAATCTCATGCATAGGAACTTAGTGGCCATTCTGCATACTTGTGGTAAGTGTCATGAGTGAGAAGTACAGGATAGCATGGGAACATATAAAAGGGAAACTGACATCCTGGGGTTCAGTAATTGCTTACTGCTTTAACTAAACTTGTAGGGTGAAGTGGAATTAGCCAGGTGAATAAGAAAACTTCCTAGGCAGAAAGAACTATGCATACAAATCTATTGAAGCAAAAAAGTATGACGCGTTCTAAGAATTGAAAGAAATAGTAAGATTTTAGTGTATAGAATGAGGTTTTGGTGTGGGTTTTTTAAATATATATTTCTGTTGATTTCAGAGAGGAAGAGAGAGATAGAAACATCAATGAAGAGAGAGAATCATTGTTCGGCTGCCTCCTGCACACCCTAAATTGGGAATCTTGTCCACAACCCAGCCTGACCAGGAATCTTGGTTCCTGGGTCAACGCTCAACCACTGAGTTGCACCCGACTAGGCTAGGATGAGTTATTTTAGATGAGGCTAGAAAGTGCAACAGAGGTCAGAGCACACAGGAGCCCTTAGCCCTTGTTAAAGAGCCTAGACCCATGGTTGGCACATTGCGGCTCGAGAGCCACATGTGGCTCTTTGGCTCTTTGAGTGTGGCTCTTCCACAAAATACCACGGGCTGGGCAAGTCTATTTTGAAGAAGTGGCATTAGAAGAAGTTTAAGTTTAAAAATTTCAGCTCTCAAAAATTTCAATCTTTGTACTGTTGCTATTTGGCTCTGTTGACTAATGAGTTTGCCGACCACTGGCCTAGACTATATCCTAAGAGAACAGGAAAGCTATTGAAGGATTTTAGGCAAGAGAGCCAGTGACTAACATCTTCTACACATGAAAATAAGCAAATTGAGCTCTGTATTGCTGTAGCTCTCAATCAGAGGACCTCAAACTTTAACCTAGACCAGTTTTTGTATGGCCTAAATGCTAAAAATAGTTTTTATATTTTTTAAGAATTTAAAAAAAAAATGAAAGGACAAAGAACATGAAACAGAGAGTTTATGTGACTTGTAAGCCTAAAATATGTATTTACTATCTGGCCTTACTCTAAACCATTCTTTGAATGCTGGGTCTTCACATTGCTTAAACTATTTAGGAAGTTTGCTTTTGAGAGTAAAGGCAGAAAAAGAGAGTGAAGTAAGAGTGATGGTACTAGTCTTTACTCTCAGCATATTTAGTAACAATGCACCTGGTAAATAACTATCATATAGTCTTTCATTTTCTGGTTTCACTGGCAAACACTTGGCAACAAAGAAAATGCAGGCAAAAAGGACAGTAGCAGACCTTTGCAATTACTGTTGTTTGCCATGGGGGGAAATGGCCCAGAGAATTGTTTTTTGCTTCTGCCCGCCAAAGTGACAAGAGGAAGTACCCGTAGATTTGAAAGTAAAGTTGGCAGCTCACTCACTCTTCAACAACGAAGAGTTCTTCTGCTTCCCTACTGAGTTTCTTTTAAACCCATGGTTCTAAAGAGGACACTATAGGACATATATTTTCAAAGCACTATATCCTATATTTTATTTATTTTTAAATATTTTTTTTGTTAATTTCAGAGAGGAAGGGTGAGGGAGAAGGAGATAGAAACATCAATAATGAGAGAGGAGAGTATCATGGATTGGCTGCTTTTTGCATGCCCCACACTGGGGATCCAGCCCACAACCCAGGCCATGTGCCTTCACCTGGAATCTAACCCAGGACCCCATGGTTCATAGGTCAGTGGATGCTCAACCACTGAGTCACACCATTCAGGGCTATATACCTGTATTTTAGAATGGTAGTTCATGTTCAGTAAAGAAATTAATATTCTTGAATTTTAGATAATAGGAGATTTATAATTAGGTAATAACAAATAAACTAATTTATTCCAGATTTTCAGCTGAAATATCAAAGAAATATACAATTTTTATTTATTTTTTAAAATATATTTTATTGATTTTTTTACAGAGAGGAAGGGAGAGAGATAGTGAGTCAGAAACATTGATCAGCTGCCTCCTGCACACCCCCTACTGGGGATGTGCCCACAACCAAGGTACATGCCCTTGACCGGAATCGAACCCGGGACCTTTCAGTCTGCAGGCCGACGCTCTATCCACTGAGCCAAACCGGTTTCGGCGAAATATACAATTTTTATAAATTGGATTTTTAAAAGCCATCAGTGATTCAGAGAGCCAACACATTTGCATTCTGGTTGTAGAAGTGAATAGAGTAATGTGTCCTTTTTTTCATCAGTGACTACAGGAGCACTTTATTTCTGTAATAACCACTTGTTTCTTGATCATTTTTTCTCGATTTTTTAGATGATGTTGATAGCCTATGTTCTGTTAGGAAGAAGAATATTTCAGGCAGTTTCATGAAATATTTCCTAATTGGTGTTTATATGCCAGCTGGCAATCTCCCAGGATCTAACTGCTAAACATCAATATTTTCATGAAGCTATTAGCTAAGTGGGTAGAGTTCAACTCCATTGACACATGCAGTTGGATACTTTTCAAAGTAAAGCTATTTTTAAATAAGTTTTTAGCTCTTGACTTGGAGATTGGTGTGTACTCATTAGGGACAAAGCGACAGTTTCAAGTACTGAAGTTTAAAATAGCATGCGCATATTAAAACACTGACCAAATAAAATATTTACAGAATATTCACATAAAATTGGAGACTACCTTAACCGACTACTTTTTTTTTTATAGCTGAATTATATAAACTATTTTCTTTTTCTTCTTATAGCTCGTAGAGACTTCATTAAAAGGAGAAATTGCCTTTGATCCCAGAAGCGCCTATTACTTGTGGTTTGTAATGGATTTTTGTGATGGAGGAGATATGAATGAGTATCTGTTGTCCAGGAAACCCAATCGTAAAACTAACACCAGCTTCATGCTTCAGCTGAGCAGTGCCCTGGCTTTCTTACATAAAAACCAGATCATCCATCGAGATCTTAAACCTGATAACATCTTGATTTCTCAAAGCAGGTTGGATACCAGTGACTTGGAACCCACACTGAAAGTGGCTGATTTCGGTCTAAGTAAAGTGTGTTCAGCCTCTGGGCAGAACCCAGAAGAACCTGTCAGTGTAAACAAGTGTTTCCTTTCCACAGCCTGCGGAACAGATTTCTACATGGCTCCTGAAGTCTGGGAGGGACATTACACAGCCAAAGCTGACATCTTTGCTCTGGGGATTATCATCTGGGCCATGCTGGAGAGGATCACATTCATAGACACAGAGACAAAGAAGGAACTCTTGGGGAGTTATGTGAAACAAGGAACTGAGATTGTGCCTGTTGGGGAGGCGCTTCTGGAAAATCCCAAAATGGAACTTCTTATTCCTGTGAAGAAAAAGTCTATGAATGGGCGAATGAAACAACTGATTAAGGAAATGCTGGCTGCAAACCCTCAGGATCGTCCAGATGCTTTTGAACTAGAACTCAGATTAGTACAAATTGCATTTAAAGATAGCAGCTGGGAAACGTGACACATACACTATTTGCAAATATCTTGGATGATATGCTGCTTCTGTTTTCACAGTAATGCAACATAATGTGGTTGAAAAAGAATATAAAAAGCTGAACCTCACCTTCTAAGGGTAAAAATTAATTGTGGGATTTCTTTTCCTCATTTTTCTTAAGTCTGAGCTGGCCACTTTGTTAGTATGTTTTAAATGTATTACCAATGTAGGTGTAAATTTTTTTTTAAAGATCATTGGTAGAAGTTTGGCAGGAAAATTCTCTTAAGAGCCAAGAAGAAAAGAGAATCCAGTTTTCTGGAAATATGTCTCTAAGTATTTTAGACATTCCTTGTCAGTATTAGCAATTTCCATGGAAGAAGAGGTTTGCGTGCTGGTAATGCAACCTTTGAAGCTTTGTAAAGGAAGCATATATGTATATATTTATGTATATGTAAGTATGTGAATGTGTGCATTTTGCATTCCATATGAAGAAAATGCCACTTCTGTTTAAATTATTTGATGTAGGTTTGGGTTTTTGAGATTTGCTGGTGAAATCAGTGATGAAAAATAAAATAATCTTCCTTCATCTTCCTACCCTATCTCTCCCTCTAATGAAATCATCCTAAGTTCTTTATTTTTATAATTATACAGGTTTTTTTTAAAGGCATCACTTTGGAGGGCCTACAAAAATCTGATTAAACCTAAGTGAAATTAAATGATCAAAGCTGCCGAATATGTTTGAGCTCTCCAGTGTCCTGTAGCTGCAGCAGTAGAACTAGCCATGCAGTGTGTGGTAGCAGGTTGGCAAGGATATTGATGATTCAGTCATACCTTCTTTGGGTAACCAAGCATTAAAATTATCAATTAAACCTCTGCATTGGGACATGTTTGCACTTGAGCATCTGCAATCTGAACACAGGATTCTTCTATTTATAAAATCATTGCTATATATATGTACAATAGTACTTGATACATTACTTTTTATTTCAAGAATTTGTCTAAGCCTCAGCATAAAATTGAAGAAACCAAATGAGCTCTATCCTCACTTTACCTACCCTGAATCGTCTCTTGTTTCATCACTGGAATTCCTTTCATTTTTGTATTAATACTGTTTTCTTTTCTAATTTGACACAGTAATGGTAATGATATAGTTATATTAAATGTTGATCACCTTTTTCTAACCGAGATGATACCTATATAGTTTGGCAAATGGATAATATATTGTGACATCAACTATATCTTTCAAGTAGAAAAGTTATAGATTTTATACAATCATTGGTATGGTCTATGTCAAAAACCAGTAGACCATTATTCCTCTTGAAGTCAATTTGATTTTAACTGTACATGGTTGTCTCCAGTTTTCCTGTAAAAGCAGATAGTTAATATCTAAGGAAAGAACGTTTTCCTAAGCCAGAACATTAGCCTTTAAGGTTAGAGACCTTAAGACCGTATCTAGGTTGATCTTCATAAAGCACTAGAACCTTTGGTCAAAAGTATTTTTAAAAGTTAGAATATTGAAATAATTGATAGTTTGTGTTGTCTCTTCAGATGTTCCTTTTGAACTTCCACAACTTCTGGAATATTGCTATCATAACTTTCTTATTTAAAATTTGTTCAGGGGACTATAAAAGGTAAAAAAGCACAAATAAATTAAGAGTATATAAACTTTCTGAACTATGTGTTACTTGATCCGGAAGTTTAAAACTTGGACTAAAAGGTTTTATTGAAATAACGTCTTTTAAAATGAAGACAAAAAAATAATTTTAACATCACTTTCAAGATAATAAGAGGTGGAACAATATACTGGCACCTCATGATAACTGACTCTCTAGATCACCAAATTAATATAACATAGATCTGGCCAAGGAGATTGAGATACTGGAAGTAAAGAGCATCATTGTAATGTCTGTTAATAACATGACAGACTTATGATGATTCAGGTGATGGTAAGCTCTTCAAATATCTATGTGCTCGGAGCCATCCTTTTCTAAGTATACAGTTTTTGGTCCTACTTCATTTAAAAGTTGATGATTATAATTTATTTTGAAAGATTTAACCTGTGAGGTAAAATTCTTTTCTTTCACTGGTGGTAAGGGTGTGAAGTGGTCAGGAAGCCTCTTCTGGAATTTTCTCAAGTCTTTGTATCCTAAAATAGCCTTAGATACCAAGGAAAACGACAGTAAATTCTTTGTCATTATTTGTCCTTTCAATCAGGAGGTATTTATTAAGTACCTACTGTGTGCTCAGCACTAAACATCAGTTGATAAAATGACAATTTTTAAATGGTGTATAGCCATAGGTCTTTTCCAGCCTGGAGTAAGAAAAATAAGAGATTAGCAATACTTGAAAATTCTTGGATATTTGCTATAGGAAAAATGAAAGATTTTGTGCACAGTGCCTTGCCCATAATAGGTACTCAATAAACAATTATTCTTCATAGAGTCTCTTGCCATGATTTTATAGTGTTTTATGAAATTTGTCTTAATTAAAAAAAGACCAAATATTTAAAATAAGCTTGTAGGCAGCTGTGACCAGTTAAAATATGGAGTTGTACAGTTAGTTCCTAGAATGTTATTTTGGACTAGTTGTCACTTAGAAAGATGGGGTTCCTGTAGATTTTTTGGTGCTAAGGGATACTTTATCATTATGATGAAGTAAGTGTTAAGTGTCAGATAAATAGCACACTGAATAGTTTTTCTGCTGGTCTGTTTTTTCCTCTTTGTTGTTGTTTTTAACTGTAAAATGTTGATCAAACTATTGTAGCAGCTACAAAATAACTCACCAGCATGACAAAATGGTCAAAAAATAAGTCATCAGCACTTCAAAAATGAAAGCAACTTTTGAACTTTTCTTTTAAAATTGTCAAATATATTTTATGAAGAATTTATAAAAGGGGGGGAAATGATTGTAATTTATTGTTCATGACTTTTTTTTTAATAAAGTGAGTTTCAACAAAAACAACTCTGAATGCTCTACATTACTGGTTTAGTGGCTCTCTGAGTAGTTCCATATTGCTTCATTTAATGAATGTAATACAGGGTATAAAATTTAAAATGTTGTCATTTTCAGCCTTATCTATTGATTAAACTTTCTATATTAGAAGCTATTGCTGAGGGAAATATGATTGAATTATAAAGTTCTTTTCAGCATTTTAACTTCTCTAAAATTTTAGTGCTTCCTATTTTGCGGAATTTGTCAGAGGAACTTGTATATATATGTGTGTATATATATATTTTTTTAAAAAAAATATTTTTTATTGATTTCAGAGAAAAGGGGAAGGGAGAAAGAGATAGAAACTAAATGATGAGAGAGAATCATTGATTGGTTGCCTCCTGCATGCCCCCTACTGAAGATCAAGCCTGCAACCCGTCATGTACCCTTGACCAAACTGAACCCAGGATCCTTCAGTCCTCAGGCCGAGGCTCTATCACTGAGCCAAACCAGCTAGGGCTCTATATTTTTTAATCTTCACCCAAGGACATGCTTAGAGAGAGGGAGAAAGAGAAAGATCAGCCAGTTGCCTTCTGTATACTTCCTGACTGGGGATGAAACCTGATGCCCAGATACCAACTGATCCAATTGGTGGGGCTGAAAATTTTTTCATTTATCTTTCTATTTATTAAGCTGATCATTCATTCCAGACTCAGAATGAAAGAAAGAAAATGCAGTTTTTCTGTCTATAACTTGAGACCATGGTTTCTTTTTCATAAAGTCATCTGGTTCACTTTTTTCTCTCCTTTATAGGTTTTGTTATGTATGTCTTCTCCAGATAAGGAAAGCAGAGGAACAGCAGAGGGAAAATGGGAGACAGGAACATTAACTTTACATGTGATTAGTGATGAGTAGGAAAGAAGGCATCAGGAATTGTGGCTGCTTCTGACTCTGCCACTCCTGATATAGTCAAGCAAATTTTACAGACAAGCAAGTTTTACTTTCTCTTTAAAGATTAATGTGTTAAATTGACTCTTAAACTATAAATATTTGTATTACTAGCCTTTTTGTAATCCTTTGCAGTTTACAAAATGACTTCATAAGGTTTTGCATATCTTTTCAATAGGTTTTACTTAAAATAAGGGCTGATTTGATGAATTTTCTAGTAATAACACCAGTTAGCGAGGTAATAGTTTTACCCTACTACAGGGCTTGAGTGCCTAATCTCTGACCCCAGTTGGAGTTTCCTCTAACAACAAAGCTTTATCTTCCTCACTGGAGTAATAACCTGTGGTTATTTGGATCTTTTCTTTGAATTCAAAAGCTGCTCTCGTTGGCCAATCATAGGTGTCTGCTAAAGTGCAGTGTAATGATAGACAGTTGGTTTGTGGTTAGATAATAGCTCCTACTGGAGGAAGCCTACTGGCCACACCTCTTGAGGGCAAAGTGCGTCTTTCAAAGGTAGTACTTTCCCTTTTGCAATGATTTTTCATTGGTTAGAAAAATCCTATGTGTGGGGTTTTTTAAAAGACGCCTGGGCTTTTGTTTGACTTCACAATTTCATTTCCTGTTCAGCCCTAGTATTTCAAGTTTAGCTTGTCCTGAACAGAAGTTAAGCAACTTGCTGTTGCCAAAGGCATCGTGCTTAGTAGCAAAAGCACGTGTTTTGGTGAAGCAAATCTCATATTGAATACTAGCTTTTGCAGACACCTACATAATTAATTGTGTGGTATTGGACAAGTCACTTGATTCTGAGCCTTAGTTCCCCTATCTGTAAAATGGAGATATTTACAGTTTAGGGCTTTTGTAAGAGTCAGAGATAATATATATGTCAATGTGAGAAATGTCAAACCTGTAGAAAATTTTTATGAGTTTATTTGAGCCAAACTGGACATATGCTGAGGAGCAAGATCTTAAATACACCAGAGAGTATGTTTTGCAGTTGCTGCTTCTTTTTTTTAGTATATATATATATATTGATTTCAGAGAGGAAGGGAGGGGGAGAGACAGAGAGAGAGAGAGAGAAACATTAATGATGAGAGAGGGAATCATTGATCAGCTGCCTCCTGCACACCCCTCACTGGGGATTCAGCCCGAAACACAGGCATGTGTCTTGACTGAGAATTGAATCATGACCTTGTGGTTCATAAGTCAACACTCTACCACTGAGCCACACCTGCCAGGCTTGTTTTGTTTCTTGATCTGGGGGTTGGTTAGACAGGTATATTTATAATGTAAAAATTCATCAAGCTGCACTTACAATTTATATATTTTCTTGTAGGTATGTATACTTCAGTAAAATTTTATTTAAAGAAAAAATGTATGTACATTGGAGCTAAAGACTACCTAGACAATTGTTTCAGAGACAGAGGGAAAGGACACAGACTTTGAAATCAGGAAACAGACTTGAGCCTGCAACCTGGGCATGTGCCCTTGGTTGGAATCAAATCTGGGACCCCTCAGTACAAGCAGACAGACCTTCTATCCACTGAGCCAAACCAGCTAAGGCTTTTCTCATATTCTTGAAAAGGTTCAAAAGACCTTTGAACAACTATTTCCACCATTTTAAGACCCACTATTATAGTTGCACTAGAGGCCTAGTGCACAAAATTGTGCAAGGGGGGGATCCCCTCAGCCCAGCCTGCACCCTCTCCAATATGGAACCCCTCAGGGGATGTCTGACTGCTGATTTAGACCCAATCCCAGGATTGGGCCTAAACTGGCAGTCAGACATCCTCTCACAATCAGGGACTGCTGGCTTCTAACTGCTCACCTGCCTGTCTGCCTGAGCACCCCAATCCCTCTGCCTGGCTGCCTGATCGCCCCTAACCGCCTCTGCCTCAGCTCCCGCCACCGTGCCTTTGTCCCAAAGGAGGACCAGATGACCAGAAGTTCAATCTATCCGGTCTAATTAGCATATTACCATTTACTAGTATAGATAAGGAACCATTGCATGAAAACTTTGGGTACAGGATAAATGGAGCAGATGTTGAAAAGTAAAGAAAGAACACCAAAGGGATTCAGAAGCTAAATCAGAGATTAGCCCAAGGTAAGCTGGAGTTGACTGGTTGTCTACTGGAAAGTACCCATTCTTGTCTAGGTCTACATGTCAGAACACAGCTACGTGTGTTTGCAGGGGATCTGATCCTTCTCCAGCTGGCTCACAAACTAACCAGTCTGCTCCAGAGGTTTGACTCAGCCTGTGTTTTCCAGTTTAGCAGACAGGGTTTCCCAAAGCTATGTGAGATCTGTGGGCCCTCAACCCCTCCAGTGATGTTAGTACCAGTGGATGGGGGAAACACTGGTTCTTCTAGTCCAGTGGTCGGCAAACCGTGGCTCACGAGCCACATGCGGCTCTTTGGCCCCTTGAGTGTGGCTCTTCCACAAAATACCATGTGCAGTGCGATTGAAACTTCGTGGCCCATGTGCAGAAGTCATTTTTGAAGAAGTGGTGTTAGAAAAAGTGGGGGTGTTAAGTGACATGTTTTTTGCACTTATCTTTTATCCTAGATCCAGTCCTTAGAGGAGAAACTTCTGACTTTAGGATTTCTTTCAAGGATATAGGACCAAAAGGGTTCAATAGACTGATGTCTTTGATTTTCATATAATTAATTACTGTCAGCACTAAGTATAACTTCCAAGAATCCTTCCACCTCTAAAATTCAATGATTCTGCCTGTCCGGTATGGCTCAGTGGTTGA